TGTTACTGGCATCCGCTCGAGCACATCGATGAGTAACGGAATGTCAAGTGATCAAGTGATCACGTGATTTTTTTGTAAAATCACCATGATCTTACAAAGTTGTTCATGATTAAGTTTTAATAAGGCTGTGTTCCAATGCCCATCCCTTTACCAGTTTAACATACTGTTTCCAAAGGTTTTGTTATATCCAAAAATAAGTCCAGCAAGAATACACGTATTGTTTCATAAAACTTGTGCAATAAATTGATTTTATAGTCAATATTTATTTGCTTACTGTTAGTCATTCCCTTTGCTAGAGATGGATCTACTAGGTTTCTACTGCAATAGAAAATTCCAATAAATAAGTCAATAATCTAAGCTAGTATTATATGTGAGATGAAAAGAGTGCCTCTGTATTTTATTACATGTATATGAAGGAGACTTCCTGGTGCTATGAAGTGCCTGGGAAGGTTGCTTTTGAGATTGTTTGATAACTGAAGAATTACAAAGGACTGGCCAGATTTATTAATGGTTTGAAGAAAGAAGAATTAAGTCTGGTTGCTTATTTAGAAGACTTATTTCTTAGAGAGAGGGCAGAAAGAATCTGTAATAAGATTCTGTTCTGCCATAGTATATAGTTGAAAAGAGGAGCAGACATGACAGGGACTTGCGATGACTTTATTACATGTTTGGGCTTTTAAGAACAAGTCTTTTTTTTAAGCCATAGAGCAGCATTATCAAATTTGTAGTTATAATCCTTTGACTGGGCTGTTGAGAGTAGTTTGGCAGAAAAGTGGTATAGGGAGAAGATTTTAGAGTCCATTGAAGTGATAGAGAGTGGAGATTACAGTGATCTGAAGCAAGGTGGATTAAGTGGAAGGATTCAAGAGACATTAGGCAGAGAGTCCTTGGAACTATTGCCTGCAGAGGAGGAACACATCGAGAGAAAAAGAGACAGATCAGGGATGATTAAAAATTCCTCAGTTCTCTGTCCCCCTCCCAATCATCTCTCATTGATTTTTAGGCTACTACTGATTTTTGAGCTCAGTATCCATAAAATAAGTACATTTAGGCCCAATAGACCATTAATCACATTCTAATATAAAAAATGCTGTAGGAAGGCTTCTAGTTACAGAGGGTAGTCATTATGAATGGTAGTCTGTGTTAAAAGATAAAACAACATACTTAGGTATAACTTACCATGTGAAAAAGTACATTCTTATCTAATACTGCTTAGAAATGTGAGACAATCACCATATTTTAATACTGCTTAGAAATGTGAGACAATCACCATATTTTAATTTAATTTTGGAGGTAGCCTCCACCCAGCAGTAATCAGGGGTCATGAAAAGGTCATGCGGTACCCTAACTCAGATCGAGATCAGACTCTTAAATGTGCATAGTATGTAATCCACCCCTTTGAGCTCTCTTGCCACCTTTATATAGACATTTAAAAAAATAAAAAGTCACATAAAGTTCATTTATGATAATTGGAAAGAAAGTGTGATTTTTTTTTCAGTATAGGGAATCTATCTGTTCCCTAGACTTGGCTGAAATAAAACTATAGGTATAAAATATAAAGTAATGAAAGCATTTGTTAGGTATATGTAAGATAGCTCCAAGTCATTTGTGATTTTCTGGAAAAGAAAACAAGTCAATTTTTGGGGATGATACCCACTTTGCTGGGAGATCAATAGTGGCCAGTCTGTGTTGAATGTACTCTATACAGTCCATTCTTTTTGCCCATTTCCCCTCCCTCCGTCCCTCCTTCCCTTCCTTCCTTCTAATTCTGAATTTCTTCCGTTAGATTGACCAAGAGTTCTCAAGATCTTACTCCTGACTCTCCATTCAGGGATCATTCCTGTTATGGCTCAGGGAACCATATGCAGTGCTAGGGATTGAACACAGGTTAACTGTGCAAAGCAAGTGCCTTAAACCCTGTACTATTTCTCTAGCTTTATAAATTCATCTGTTTCTTACCAAGCCTCCGCTCATTCATGGACTTGTAAAGAACAAAGAAAATGAAACTTCCCCTTTGTTTAAGTCTTGGTTCTATAAACATCAGCTCTATGATAATGAATTTGCATTGCTTAGGATTATACAGTAAAGTGAGGGGAAATAGATTTTTGAAAAGGGTAGTCCTGGTTATTGTACTTTTATTTGTATTTCTTTTTTTTCTTTCTTTCTTCCTCTTCTTTTTTGAGAAGAAAGAAAGAAAAAAATAGAGATAACAGATCTGATTACTTCCAGGTCTCTGTTTATTCAAGGGTCCCTCTGGTACTTAGGTCTTACCAGAGCAATCTCTTGTTATTCTGTGTCTTTTTCCAGCTCCACTGTCAGAACCAGGATACTAAAGGATGAATTGCTGGAAAAGTCCCAGAGCAGAAGCAACACAAAGTCCAGTGTTTCCATGCTTAGCATCTACACCTACATGTATTCTAAGCATATGAGCTCTCCTTCTGGCTGTTTATTTTTTAAACTAGATTTTAGGTTTTTTAATTTGCTTGTTTTGTGTTGTTGGTGGTATATATGCATCTGTGTATATGCAGTTTTCCCTGGGCCAGGAGAAGGTGAGGTGGTGGATGAATAGGGGAAAGGAGAACCCAGACATCATTTGATGGGGAATATTGCCTCAAAGACCACAAAGTACAGATAGCCTTACAAAGGTTGTAATCTCACAGCTCCCCCACTTAAATCCACTATTTGCCATTTTTGTTTTTTTTTTCTTCGGGGTCATACTGGCAATACTCAGGGGTTACTTCTGCGCACGCAGAGATACTAATCCTGTTGGCGCTCAGGGGACCATATGGAATGCTGGGGATTGAACCCAAGTAGGCCATAGGCCTCATGCAAGGTAAACACCCTGTCCTCTGTGCTATCACTCCAGCCCTCTATTTGCAGTTTCGGTTAATGCAATCTTACTTCCTCATTTATGTTTCAGCTTCATAGCATATTCATGATCCCTCCCTTCATTGTTAATATAAACCCTCCCAGTGTCTAGCTTGAACTCGTTTCCTCAGAGAGTACTGATAAATCAATCCCACCTGCAACTGTGACTACCTATCACAGTTAAACTCCTGGTATTCATTGACTGTTAGTCTTTTAATATGTATAAAATAGCTTCAGATGCAAAATAGAAAAGTACTAGTTATTTTGCACATGTTGTGGAACATACAATAATATCTTCTAATTGTAGATTTAGAAGATACTTTTGCTACCAGTGGCTCAGTAAAGGGTGGAGCCTGGAAGGTAGAGTTGAGGAAAGAGTTCCCACCTCTCTGCTCAACTCACCTCTGCCATCATCTCTCAGGGAAATGCCTGGCCTCTGTCAGATCGGTCCCAACCTCAGCACAGACATTTTGAGTCTGTTGCCTTTCCCTCACAAGAATATCAGAAGGAAGTGAAAAGGTGAAGCAAGAAAGTTTTTATTGAAACTTATTTAGAAAGATGTGAGGGGAGAGAAACAGAGAGAACACAGGCTTCTCCAGAGTAGAAAAAGGCACACAGAGAAACAGACAAGCAAGGGGGCTATGTGTTCAAGGGAGAACATGGCTTGAAGAGCAAACCCCAGATGGCTTTTCGGAAGGGTATTTTATGCAATTCTTCCAAATGGGTTTTTCTGGAGGTTTGCATCCATAAAGTTAATCTGGTTGCCCTGGAAAGCCTTGCACTGTTGATAGTCTTTTCATAATCTCATGGATTTCTCTGTGGCTTCTTCTTTTCTGAGGGATTCACCCTTATCCAGGTGCAACGTTTGATTTCTGCATCTGAGTGTTGCCTCAGTTTCTCCTTTCTGAAGAGCTCAGGATTTGCATGTCAGAGGGATGTGGCCTTCATGCCTTTGGGTTACTTCAATGCTAGGAAATCTCTGCTAAACTTTATTATTAGTGTTTCCTAAGGATTGTTATTAGTAAGGATCCCCTTACAACACTGATTAATCCCCTCTACTCATTATTGCCAGCTCCTTAGTCATCACTGCTCTTACTTTTAGAAGAAGCAAAGGTGATGTAATTACATCTTTTCTTCTTTTTCATACACAAAAGTATGTTTCCCTTTCGGGACTTTTTATTTTTAGTTCACTTATGAAGACCACATTGATTTACCTGCTACCCCTAGGATTATTCTGTTGCAGTCATTTAAAAAGCAAAGCACCGAGGCTAATAATAGTGATCATAGTAGAAAATCGTATTTGTGGAGCACACTAGAAAAAGAGAATTCTTAACATTTGAGTACCACCTCCATTGTTTTTTATTGCAATGAATATTCTCATAGAACTCAAAATCTACTAGAGAAGATACATTTTTGATTGTTCATTGGGTGGGAGTAGTGATGATGTCCTGAGCCTTTAAAACAGCAGTAATCTTTTCCTTTTCCCACTCCCATACCCACTTTCATCCTGCTCTTACGGCTTTCAAGGATCATGATCTCTGAACCCCTCTACGGTAACCAATTAATTACTTTTTTCGGTCCGTTTTTGGGTGTACAGGGCTTACCCCCTGGCATTGTGCTCAGGGATCACTCCTGGCTGTACTCAGGGGACCACTTGCAGTGCAGACGACCTACCCGCTGCACTATCGTTCAGGCCCGACCAGTTAGTGATGTTCAACTAAGTTGCAAGTCAAGCATCTCTTCATTTTGCCTGGGTCTACAGCCCAGGTGGGACTGGCTGGGGAAGGACGCGGTCCCAGTTCTGCGAAACGTTTCAGTGTTTCAGCGGTCTCGGTATTGAGCGCTGGTTTCAAATCCATCAGGAAAAACTGTTACGATGAAAACAGCCTGGAGGGGTTGATGATGAGGAAGAAGCACCGAGACGAAATCTGGCAAAGCTACGACGTAGTTCGGCGCTAGCGCCCAGCGCCCGGGAGGCGGGGCGGGCGGGGCAGCCGCGCGCCACCTGCGGGGAGCGCGGGCCGGCGGGCGGGCGGGCGGGCGGGCGGAGGGGCGGGCGGGGGCGTGGCCTGCGGGCGTGGCGCCGGGGGCGGGGCCGGGGGCGGGGCCGGCCGGCGGCGCCGGCGGTTACCAGGGGGTGGAGTTGCCCTTGGAGGCGGCGCCCGCTCAGGGCCCCGAGGCCCGCCGCGCCCTATCGGGCCCGCGCCGAGTGGCCCCGCGGAGCCGGCGCGCTCCCGCCTGCAGGGGGAGGGCGGACGGGGCGCGGGGACCGGCCAGGCCGCGGCGGGCGCTGTTTCTCTTTCACTTTCCTTCCCGGGGAGGCCGGCGCGCTGGCGGGCGCGGAGCGGAGGCGGCGGCCGCGGGGTAGGTGCCTGGAGGGTGGGAGCGTGGCCGGGGGGCGGGAGGCCGGGACCCGAAGGCTCCCCGCCCAACTTTGCGGGCGCGGCGCGTCCAGGCACCTGCCGCGGTCGCCCCCGTCCAGCCTGGGGCCGGAGAGCCCGCCGCCCCCCCCCCGCCCTGGGGGTGGTCGTGCGAGGTCCGGGGCTGCCCGGCAGAGCCCTTCCCCGCGGCGGGCTGCGTGCCCCGGCACCCGGGAGCGGCGGCGCCTGCCCCGCGGCCGAGCCCCGGCCCGGGCCCGCGCACCTGCCGACCGGGCGCGGCGATTGAGCGGGAACTGCCCGGGCCCGAGCCGCGAGCCGCCCGCCCGGTGCCGCCGGAGGACGCGGAAAAGTTCCCTCCCGTGCCCACCCGCGCCCTGCAAGTACTTGCTTCCTTTGAACCCTGCCCCGGTGACAGGACCCTGTGGCTGGGAAGTCTCCAGCCCTCCCTCCCCAGGTCGCGGCTGTGCCAACCCTCGCTGCCCGAGGTCTTCGCCTGACTTGGGAGCTGCACGGCAAACCTGTGGCCGTTAACCCCGGCGGAGGGGAGAAAGCCCAGATCCAGGCTCGGATGGTCAATTCCGGGTCTTGCAGGGGGACCTTTTGCGGGCCAGGGGCCTGACTCTCACCACCCCCCTCCCCCCCCCCCCCCGACTAATTCATCTTCTCTTTGACCTTCAAGAGGGGACGGTTTTCGAGATGATAGGATGCTGACGCCCCGAACGTATTATTAGTGGGAGGACGATTCCCTTTTTTTTTTTTTTTGCACGAGTTAGCTGGAGAAACACAAGTTCCCACTCATTGAATTAAAATATATCAGCAACCCCCCCCCCCCCCCCCCCCCGCCACCAAGTTATTTTCTAAGGGAGCGCATTTGTTGTAAGAAGTCTTTGAAACATTTTGTGTGTGTGTGTGGGGGGGGGGTCACAAGCTAACTTTGCTAAACATCTCTGGGGGGGGAATTAATGGCATTCCATTTTTACTGTGTGCCGCTTTTGTTTGTATAGTGTCTCGTTCAGTTTTGACTGCTTTAGGAACCTGATTCTGTTATTTTCATTCTACGGTTAAGAAACTGGGGCTTGGAGAGAATAAGCAATATTGCCTAGGGTATGTTTTGCCTATTATTGCCTAGTATATAGGTCTACTAAATGTGACCAAAGATTCAAGGTATCTTTTAAGTCAGAGAAAGAGGAAAGCGCCACAGAAGTGAAGTGTAGGTTAAAAAGCAGAAGAGATTACACTGAGAATAGCACTGGAGAAGGGCCTTGTAGAATGTAGATAGAGAAAGGGCTTGCTGGGTAGAAGGCAATGCGTGTGCAGAGCAAACTTCCTTCAGTGTGCAGGAAGGAAAATACTTGAAGGGCAGCCTGTGGAGGGTCTCATGTGACAGGCAAAGAAACTGAAACTTTTTTTGTTTCAGAGAGAAGACACATTCTTTGAGAAGAGGGCCCCAGTTAAAGTGAAATAAACCAGCAGAAAGTAAAACGAACTGCAAGTGGATGGGTGGTGCATAAGTTGGGTGACTGAATGGAATGTAGAAAGACACCAATTTGTTTGTAGTAATGACTGGATGTCCAGTACAGAATAGAGGTGGAGCATTCTGATAGGTGAGGATAATGACTTATGTTGTGAGTCTTTTCATTTTCATCTGTAGGGAACCCCAGTAGAGTAATCAGACCAATAATTTTTTTTTTAAGCAGAGGCTTTTTAAGATAGTACAGTGGGTAGGGTGTTTGCCTTCTACACAGTTGGCCTGACTTCAATCCCTGGCACCACCTTTATTCCTAAATCTGGCCAGGAGTGATCCCTGAGCACTGCCTGGTGTGCCCACCAAACAACAGGAAAAAAAAATCAAAAAAGCAAAGAACAAAATGGGAGTCCATGGCTTTGGGTATCACTTGTATCAAGGTGATATTTGAAGCTTCAGAATGAGATTGATTTGTCATTTTGAATTAAGTTAACAGGTTTAAAGTTGATTCTGATAGTGGGGGAAGTTTTCTGTTCAACTCTGCCTGATTTGGAACTAGTAACACTTGCTGTTGATATAATGGTATTAGTATAATATGAGCAATTTGACAACTACTTTCCCACCTTTTTTCACTTATGAAAACAGATATGGAAAAGCAGAACCACCAAAAGAAGTAATGACCAGCGATCTCATTATAAATCTGGATGTTTGTTCTTATGCCTCTGCATGTCCATTTGGGAACGCCACGCCAGCTCCTTGGATCAGACCTTTATCCATATAATATCCTTCTTTGCCTGAACTACTGAAGCCAGTCCTAGCTCACCACGAATGGCTACTCAAAGGAAACACTTGGTGAAAGATTTCAATCCTTATATCACCTGCTACATCTGCAAAGGTTATCTGATCAAGCCAACTACGGTAACGGAATGCCTTCATACATGTGAGTATTTCTTTCTTTCATCTGCCAATTATTATAAGTTACTGGGTACATTTCCTCTTTTTAAACTTCCATCTTGTGTCTTTATACCTTACATTTTAACACAATGAATATTCTAAGAATAAACTTCAAATTTAAGTAAGTTAAATTTGATTGAACTTAACATTGGGATACCATTGGGTAGAAATAATTTTTATGTTAATCATAATAGTTGACTTTCATCTGATTTAAAAATGTTTCAGAATTCAAAAGCTTTATTGTTGGTTAGAGACTTTAAGTGGGATATTTGAGGAGAAAGGAGATAGTATAGAGATTAGGGTGCCTATCACCCAATATAATTTCCCTGAAGAATCACACATGTATCCCTGGTGGACTCCTTAGCACCAGTAGGTGTGGCCCTGGAGATTCCCAAGCATCACCAGGTACATAGAGCCCTGGAAGTCCCTAAACACATATCACCAGAGTAACCTAAGTAATCCCTGTCACTGCAAGGCTCCTTGCTTTAAACAGCTGGTCTGGATATCTGAAGAATCACTGGTGAGCTCCTGGGTCTCCACTTCTCGAGAAATGCCGGCACTCCAAAATAAACTATTTAGGATTTAAAAAAATACTTTGAAATGATTTAGGATATAAGATATGCAGCTCATTGGTTGTTTTTATCAAATCACTTTTATTGGTAAAGGTAAGGTAAAGGCCCTCCCGTTGATCGTCGATTTGCTCGAGCGGGCCCAGTAACGTCTCCATTGGAGACTTTGTTGTTACTGTGTCTGGCATATCGAATACTCTCGGTAGCTTGCCGGGCTCTCCGAGAGGGGCGGAGGAATCGAACTCGGGTCGGCGATAGCACAGCGGGTAGGGCGTTCGCCTTACACGCGGCCAACATGGCCGACCCACTTTTATTGAGGTATCATTATTTACAAAGAGCTGTACATATTTAATGAATATAATTTAATGAGTTCAAACGTAACTATTGAACTCATCGCCACATCTCTTCCATGCCATAAACTTAGCCATCACTATCAAAAGTTACCTCCTGTTCTCTTATTATTCTATTTTTTGTAGTAAAAACACAGGATGATATCGGTTGTATGTGGTATATAGAATAACTGGATGAGGAAATACAATGATTTAAAGGGGTGAGGGTGACTTGGCTTCAGAGTATGGGGAAGAGAAGGAAAGAATCTGCTGAGAAGCAAAGGAGGGGTGGGGGCAAGGGGCAAGGGGATCCAGGTACATTGGTGGTATTGAGGAATGATAGAGCAAAACATGTGAACCAATTTCAGTTGACAGTACTGAAATCATGAACAAACTTCAACAACCGAACTTATAAAAGTGACTGTCAATATGGCAGGCTGAGGTGGTTGGGGGTGAGGGCAGGGTAAGAGAGGGAACCTGGGAACTTTGGTGGAGAGAGGTTGACACTGGTGGTTAGATTGGTGCTGGAACATTGTATGTGTAAAACCCAACTGTGAATAACTTTGTAAGTCACAGTGATTTAATAAAATAAACAATTAAAAGCTATAATCTTAGCAAGTTTTAAGTATAAAGCAATAGTATTGTTAATTATAGTTATATAGTTTTATAGACTATGCTGTGCAGTAGATATCCTGAACTTATTCATCCTGTATAGTCAAGATTTTGTATTCTTCGACTAATCCATCAACCTTCTTCTCATTACCTGGTAACATGTTAGGAGTACAAATTACCAGGTTTTATCTAGAATGAATGTGTATTTACTAAAGGGCCGAGGTGTCTATCTCTCCTGCTGCTTGTGTTCGGTGGTCTCTGCTTCCCTGACCCCGGAGAGGCCGATGACAATGGGTAGGCGAAGGAAGGATCGAGGGCCAGGCTGGTCGGTATTAGTTGCAGTTTGTTCTTATTTTCTCTCCAGTCTTCTCTGATTCCCTTCCTGCTTCTCTCTCTTCCGAGCCCCTTCATTCTCCTTCTCCTTTTTGCTTCCCCCTCATTCTCCATCTGGCCTCTGAATCTGACTCCGCACCCCCCTCCCCCCCCCCTTGCAGTCTTAGTTTATATAGCAATCACATAGGGTGATGATACAAAGGTGGGTTGAACATTAACAAATCAACTAAGAGAGGTAAGACTTCAGGAGATTAACTCAAGGACAAAATCCCATCTAAAGCATTACTACTCCAGATTACTAGGAGATCTGCTCAAGAGTGGGATCCCAATGAGGGTGTGTCGCTTTCTTGTTTCCTGAGCTAGTAATCCACTTAAATAGTTGTAGTAAATCTACTTCTAATATTTCTAGCACAGTAAAAGATAGAAACTTAAGATTTGGTTCTTCCTGAGGACATCTCACTATATATTCCAGACCGCAGTCCTCAGGCCAGGTTAGTCTTCCCTTAACCCCAGCAGGGTCCTAATCTCATCGTTACTTTTGGGTCATGACAGTATTTGTCCATGGTCATGCTCTCAACTTATAGTTGAGTATTGTGGCACTTTGGCCCTGCCCATTTCGATGCCAGGGTAGCTCACAGCTTGCCCTGGGTCCATTCAGTCCCTCGTCAGGACCCTGCTTTGGGAGTGTGAGGAACTAAGGGTGTCTGAGTCAAGAAAGAAGATGCCCAGGAGTAAATATTATTCGAAGTCAACCAACCCTCAAGTTACAAAAGCATAATATTAACTGTCTTCCTGTGTCCATATGAAAAAGACATTGCTTTAAGACATACAATACAAGTTCAGTGTTCTTAGAAGGATCTGCTCTTACAAGCTAACAGAATCTGATTAGGGAGAAAAGGTGATTAACTGGTTGGGGAGGAGAGCACGAAGAAAAGTTTCCGGATAAACGCAGAGGAATGGGAGTGACTCGGGAGCACTGTGATGGGTGTAACCTGATAAACCTAAGCTCCCTGTGGCAAGGGAGAAAGGACAAACCAATGTTATCCTACAACTGAATTAGAAATTCTGGGATTGGCCATGGCAATGTTTGTTTAACAAACTCTCCAAGTGATTCTGAAACATATTCAGATTCAAGCATTAGTCTTCTAATATTATGTGGTGGAACTCCTAACAGGTTTCTTTCTAATTATATCAGAGCAGAAGAGCCATTTTATTGCCATTTCATGCAGAATTCCACATACTTTAATATTTCTATTAACAAAAAGTTAATTTTTCTATTTCAGTGAAATATAATCCTAGTAAGTTCTGTTTTAATGCCTATAATGTTTATTGAAATAGATATCTACTTATTCATTCAAGCTTTATGGTAGAATTGAATCAAATTTTAGTTGATGTGGTGTGAGAGAGGTTTAGAGATTATTTTGGAGGAAGTGTGAAGACAAAAACAATTTGTCCAACCTCATGCCAGATAAGTCATGAATCTGTATTCCACAATAAATTCCATGGATTTGTATCAACTAAGATAACGTGGTACCTTTTTTATTTTTCCTTTAATGCTCCATTTCAACTATATCTCTTTGGTTGGAGTGATTTAATTTTATATATGTAGCTTTAAACAGGGATGCAACATAGAATCATTTGCGACGTGGAAAATTTTTCTTAAATTTTCTGTATTTTACCACAATAAAAATAGAATAATATCACATAGGAAATAGAAAAGACAACAAGGAAAAATAAGATTATAAGAGAAATTATTGACAGTGCCAAGAGGAACAATTCATTATCATAAGAATTCCAGGAGAGAACAGAGGGAGAGAAATAATACTAGTTGAAGAAATAATTGAAGGATTTCCCCAACTTGCAGAGGGAAGTAGGAGCACAGATACAAAAGTCCCAAAGAGTACCAACCAGAGTAAACCCAAATAAAACTGCATTGAGACATTCTTTAATCAGATGACAATCAGAGATAGAGTCGGACTTCTTATACCCACAAGATAGTATTAAAACCTCATATATTGGGGCTGGAGCGATGGCACAGCAGGTAGGGCTTTTTCCTTGCACGTGGCCAACCCAGGTTCGATTCCCAGCATTCCATATGGTCCCCTGAGCACTGCCAGGAGTGGTTCCTGAGTACAAAGCCAGGAGTAGCCACTGTGCATTGATGGGTGTGACCAAAAAAGTTAAAAAAAAAAAACCCTCATATATTGTGTCAGAGTGGAGGGAAATCAGATTTACAGCAGATTTCTCTAGCATAAATTTATATATCAGAAAAGAGTGGAACATATAGAAATTCTTGAATGAAAAGATTTTCCATCCAAGAATCTTCCTTTTCTAGCAAGATTATCTCTCTGAATTGTAGAGGGATAAAAACATTCTCAAACAGCAGTTTCAGTCATATTTGGAATCTAACCCAGCCCTGGCACTGACACTGAAGTACCACATAGAAAAAGAAAAATATCATATAGCTTAAGTAACCAAACTACTCATATAGACATAGCAATAAATCTCTTCATATCAATTATTTCTCTGAATGTCAATGAACTTAATTCCCTCCATGAAATAACAGAGAGTAGCAGGATGGACTAGGAAACAAAACGTAACCTTTTGTTATTTACAGCAGACATACGTAAGACTCCCATGATAAACACAGGCCCATAGTCAGTGGTTGGAAGACAGATATACAGGCAGATGCCAGACAGGAAAAAGCAGATAGTCATACTTATTTCAGACCAAATAGCATTCAAACTAAAGAGCATGATAAAAGAGGAAAGAATACTACATACTTGCTTAAGGTAACGAGGAACTATTACTCATCAATATATATGCACAGATGAACGGCAGCAAGATTTACATATCAACTGCTGATATACCTGAGAAAATATATTGATGACAGCAAAAATAGTAGTTGAGACTTCAGTATACCATTCTCATCATTGGACAGATCAATCAAGCAAAACTTCATTAAAGAAGCAAATACCCTACATGAAGAACTGGAAGAACTGGATCTAATAAACATTCAGAACCTTCCACATCCTGTAAATGAATATACATTCTCCACTGCACATTGTACATTCTCCAGGATAGAGCACATTATGGGGCACAACTCAAATGTCCTTAAAATCAAAATCATACCATGTGTCTTC